CCGGACGAACCTCAGCGGAATAGAGTAGCTAAAAAAATCAATCGCACCCTAATGGATATGGTGGGCAGTATGATAAGTTACTCCACCTTACAGTTAAGCCTGTGGATGGAGGCGTTAAAACCCCATTCATACTCTCAAAAGAGTACAAAGTAAGTCGGTGCCCAAAACACCGTATGAGTTATGGACAGAAAGAGTGCTCTCACTAAACCACTTGTGTGTGGGGGGAGCCCTGCTGAGGCTAAAGTATTTAACCCAAACATTGGAAAGTTAGATCCTAAAACAGTAAGGTGTCATTTCTTTGGCTACCCAGAAAAGTCAAAAGGTTTCTGTTTTCTACTGTCCAGGGAGACATACAAAGTTTGTGGAAATGAGACACGCTGTCTTCCTAGAGGATGAAAAGATGAGGGGGAGCATGGTAGCTCGAGAAATTATCCTTGAAGTGAAGCGGGTGTATACGCCCACTCCAATGATTCATGAGTCATTTTTCTCACTACCTGCTGTAGCTGCACCGACAGTGCTAGATACTATGGTGCCAGCACCTGTTGTTATCCCACCTGTGGCAACAATGAATAACGATGAGGAACCTGTTCTTCAGGATTCTATAGAACCTATTGCCACATATGAGGGGGAGCAACAACAGCCTCAAATAGAAGATGTGCCAAATGTGAAGGCCCCTAGTAGGTCTCAAAGAGTTAGAAAATCAGCTATTTCTGCTGATTATGAAGTGTATAACACTAAAGAATTTCAAATGGAAGATGAAATGAAATCGATGAATGTCAATAAAGTTTGGGATTTGGAAATAATTCCTAAAGGAGTCAAAACAGTAGGTTGTAAATGGGTCTACAAGACTAAACATGACTCTCAAGGGAATATAAAGACATATAAAGTGTGACTTGTGGCAAAAGGTTTTACGCAAAGAGAAGGGATTGATTACAATGAGACCTTTTCTCCAGTCTCATGTAAAGTTTCCTTCAGAATCATAATGGCATTAGTGGCACATTACGATTAAGAATTACATCATATGGATGCAAAGATGGCATTTCTCAATAGAGATTTGGAGAAAAATGTTTACACGGCACAACCGAAAGGTTTTGTTATGGAAGGAAAAGAACGAACGGGATGTCGTCTAAAGAAATCCATTCATGGATTAAAACCAGCTTCAAGACAGTGGTACTTGAAGTTTGATCAGACAATAAAGGATTTTGGGTTTTAAAGAGAATGTAGAGGACAATTGTGTCTATACAAAGTAAAGATAATGTAAAGGACAATTGTGTCAATACAAAGTTTAAGAATGGGAAGTTTATCTTCCTTGTCCTATATGTAGATGATATCTTACTTGCTAGTAGTGATGTCAGTCTACTACTGGAGACAAAGAAATTTGATATGAAATATCTTGGCGAAGCCTCGTTCGTTCTAGGGATCAAGACTCACCGAGATAGAAGAAAGAGGGTATAAGGACTGTCACAAAAGGCATACATGGAAAAGATCTTAAAGAAATTCAGTATGCACAAATGTAGTTCCTCATCTGCTCCTATAGTCAAGGGCGATAGATATGGGGATTTTCAATGCCCCAGGAACCAATATGAGCTCAATCGATAAAGTAAAAGTGGTTCCATATGCTTCAGCTGTTGGAAGTTTGCAACATGCTCAAGTATGTACGCGCCCTGACTTGGCATTTGTTACCGGGTTTTACTTGGCAGATTCCAGAGCAATTCTGGAATAGAACACTGAAATTAGTAAAGAAAGTCTTGCAAGGAACGAAAGGCCTCATGATGACATATAGAAGATCTGATTTACTCCACATGGTGGGATATTCAGATTCTGATTATGCGAGAGTGAATGCATATCCAGACGTGGATTTTCTATCATCTCGCAAAGGAGAGTTATTTTATGAAAAAGCTCAAAGCAAACTGTCACTACATCGTCCACAATGTATGACAGTTTGTAGTGTGTTATGAGGCAACGGACAGGTGAACTAACTAACGAAGTTCATACCCGGTTTGAAGGTGGTTAACGACATCTATAGACCACTAAAGTAATACTGCGATTATAATCTGGCAGTACAGGATGCTCACAACATAAGTCAAGTGGTGCTGTCAAACACATTGACATAGAGTATTATGTTGTGAAAGATAAAGTCCGGGATCAAGTCATAAGTCTTGAGCATATAAGAACAGAAAGGATGCCCGCGGATCCGCTTACAAAAGGCTTACCACCCAACATGTTCAGAGAACATGTAGCTAGCTTGGGTTTAAGGGAAAGCCTAAAATATTCCTGGACAAAAGAAGGCCCAAAGATAAGTATCTATTTCAGAACAGAGTAGTGAGTTGTAGCTGTTAAGTCTATCGGCAATGGACCGTGACGATGAGACATGTTCTATGAGCTAATCTGTAATGGAATGAACAAAAGTAAATGATATGAAAGTGAAAGATGGAATGAGATCAAGGAGGAGAATGATAGTTGATCTCCACCAATAGGCCCAACGGTCTATTGGGCCCTTATCTCTGCTCCCTGATCGGGGGAGCCCAACCCTAATCCGGTTGGTGGACCCCTGTCGCACAGCACACATAAAAGGAAGGTGGGGGTGAGGGCTCGGACAACGAGGTTGAACGGAGCCGCCACCCACCTACAGAGCTAACCCTAATCCGATCCTAAAGCGTGCTGCCAACGACGGGATGTGCCCCACCACCATCACCGTCGCCTATGCAGGGACACCGCCGGCGCCACTGGACTGGGTCTCCACAGTGCCACTGGATCGCCACCATCACGGACTCCACCGAGCCGGAGCTACCGCGGCACCGGCGTCTACCCGCTGTTGTACATCTACGGAGAAGACAAGGATAAGGTCTTCCTCGGATCTACGGCTTACACACGTAGAGGTACCAATCCTACGATCTAGCACCGCGGAGTCACCAAGAATTTGTGCTGTCGATGAGAAAACAGGTCGCCTCATGTACGACAGGATCGGATGTGTTAATGCGTATGGAGATGCCTTTTAATTTCTTCTTATCAACAGAACTGAAACCTTTATTTCGCTTTATTTGATCTGACCCTGTTGTGTATTAAGTATTGTACTCTGTGATTTAATTAAGTTCACAATCGACTGTTTGGACCAAGTGGACTTTGATTTTAGTACTGCATTCTCCCAATATTTATAGGTACGACGAGAATTTCCCAAGAATTAATAAAAGTCAAAACATCCCATCTCGTTCAAACAACATTAGCCAGATCAGGCTTCGCGTGCACATCTGCATTTTTGTTTATGCTTAAAGCATGGATCCTCTTGGATTCTTGGCACCTTCGCCATGATGAACCCTTGAACGAACTAAGGGCGGCATGGAAGTGTTGAGGATTCATTCTCATTGGGGCACCTTCGCATGCATGAACAGGTGAACTCTTGAACAAGGGCACGGAATTTGCAGACTAGCTTGTTGCAAGCCAGCCTGGGTCTGAAAGGACACGCCTAGTGCATAAGCGTCAGGCCTTGTTCGTTGCTACCTGAGCAAGGAAGTCTGCCTTTCCAGACATGTATATTCATTCAACCGACGCATCCGTGCTCGCTTCAGCACCTTTGTGAACGCATCCGTAGCACGAATGAAGAACACTAGTCACCCTCCTTGCATCTATTCTCCTGATGCCTTCCATTCTTGAAGCGTTTTTCTGTTTCCTCTTAGGCACTATCGGCACACCTCTCTCACTGATGTGCCATCTACTAGACTACTACTACTACTTTTATAATTGTAAGAAGGGATAGACTCCGCAGTATATATATATATATATAAGTAATGGTTCAGACGTTATGACAGATGCACTCTGGACACTAGTAAATTGAACTTATTATAGCCAATTTAAAAAGAGTAGAGGGGTGTTCAAATCATGGTTCTCCAGACATGTCAGTCAATCATTTATCATGTATGTAATGTTTATTTCCAATATTTTACATCATATTAGTGGCTTGTGACTAGCTACTTTCTTCAATATATACAGTTTTGCCCTCTATGTACATGATATGTTGGTAGCCTGTGCCTTTTTATACTTCTTTTCTTGGTAAATATGATTGTGTTGCAGTCATTGTGGTCACATATCCCCCATGGACATTGATAGAAGCCCTGATCTGGCAGTCATTGTGTTGTCCTACTATTGCTGAACACATCTCAGTAATCATGATTTCGAACTGTATGCACATCCTTCCCACCAACACCGTACCTGTACATAATATGAAAGTTCGACTGGTCAAATTTTTTTGAAAGAAATACGAAGGTAAGATGGTCAATCCGATAGCCCCACCTAACATCGCTTTTCTATTTTCCCTTAAGTCATTTTTTTTATGTTTGACCAAATTTTTAGAAAAGAGTATAAATATTTATGACACCAAATGGGTACATTATGAAACTATATTTTATAGTGTTCCTAATGATACTAATTTAGTTCCATAGATCTTTGCGCTCTTTTCTAAAAATGGTCAAATTTTAAAAAGTTTGATTTAAGATTACTCTAAGAATCGATTTAGTTAGGGACGGTGGGAGTATTAAATAAGTCTATGCTATAACTTTTCCATAGATGCATTTTTTGTTGTTTGCATAGTTTAGTTTGTTGAAAAGATAGATATGAAAGTTAATTTTCTTCCATTCTAAAAGTACAGTAAGGTATCTCGAACTAACAATTTTGTGAGATCCTAGGATTAGCTAATATTAGTTCACAATAATAGCGGCCTAAAGTGAAATATTATAGTAGATATATACATACATGCATTATTCAGAGTTTCAAACCAATGGGTCTTTGTCTATGCGAAAATCCTCTGTGTCTATGGCTCTACATTTTAAAGATCGAATAATTTTTCTAGGAGAGTCAAAACTTCATATCTTTCATCAAAATAATAACAATGGTATGTGCATCCTCTTAATAAATAGGGTGACAGTTATATGAAACAGTACCTTGTTGCAGCACCCATGATGAAATTTTCTTGACCATTACATCAACTGGTTTAGGCGCATATTATGTTAAGCGCTCATCTCCTTTGGGAGGCTAGCATCTAGAAAATACAAGCTGCAAAACAAGTGATATATATAGAATTAGTATGTTTATCAGGCTAATCAAATTGCACTCTCTCATGTACATGCAACTTTGAGATGTGTGAATATTTCTTAATCCTTTTTACTAAGAGCATAACGCACCTCATAGACATAAAGGCCATACCAACAAATACTGCTTTAACAGCATCCTTGCGTCCAGCATATTCAAATGCTTGCGGTAGCATTTCATACAGTGTTAGAAAAGCCATCACTCCTCCCACTGTAAAAAAAAGAGAAAAAACATCAGTTGAGTGAATACTTTCAGCTAATTGAATGGAATGGTTTTTATATAGTAATTACAGTTACCTAATCCAAGTAGACCTTCCAATATTTCAGGATTCAAGTTGCTTGGGAATAGGTATGCTGCAAAAAAAAATCATTTCACATGCATTGCTTTGAGGTAGAATATAAATAACTCTATGAACTCAACTACTTTTCAATCATGACCTCATGCTCTTTGCAAAGTCTTAACCTTTGGAACCAAACTTACCCTATTTTCTGTTTTCTATTTCTAATGATGACAAAAATACTAAATAAATTATTTCTAACTTTATAGGCTGCGTTCTAGGCCCAGCCCATAAAACACAACGAACCTAAGCCCAAAAAAAAAGTGTGTCTAGGCTGGATAGCAGGCTGCAGCCCAGGTCCAGCACATGAAACACAAGGAACCTAAGGCCACAGCCCATGTAACACAAGTAACCTAAGCCTAATATTGCTTCGGGTTTTTTTTAAGAAAAAAGGTGGCAGAATAATTGTGTGTCACAGAGTAATCAAACCCACACCCTCCAATCACAAGAACACATGCCAATCGAACTAAACATGTATTTGCAAGTTTAGTATCACACCAATGGTAATTATACTTCCAAAAGAGTAGTTCAACCAACGAAAATTAGCTCCTCATGTATATTCACTTAACGAAAATTAGTAGATTTTTTTATTGCATCTGTTGCATCAATATGATTTGAGGAAATTCATCTTCCATCCTGAATGTACCGATAATCCATTTTCAAACCTTAATAGCTCAATTAGATTGTAACCACTGTTAAAAAGTCAACTTACCCACAATAATCACACCTAGTGGCTCTGCAAAACCAGATAATGTTGCTAATTTGAAGGCTTGCCATTTGCTGCACCAGAGACATGGAAACTAAGTATTACTGAAAGTTTAAATATAGTTTTTTTGTTTACAAAATAAGTGCAACAATCATATTTCTTTATTCTACATGCAGTTAGTGCCCTTAGTGGTTATTATTTGATAGAATGGGATCCAACATGAAAGGGGGCATATTTCTTCTATTAAAAAAAAGATACATTAGTACCTGCAAGTGGCAAAGTACGCTGGGAGAGCTACTGCAATACCCTGGGGATGAATGAAAGCAACAGGTAGGTATTAGCACATTTGATCTATGTTGTGAACTAAATTGTGTGTTGAGAAGAAATATATATATGCTACTTTCTGTAGAGTAAATTACCTCTGGAATGTAGTGTAGTGCTATAGCAAGGGCCAAGTTCAAACCAACACGGAAGCCCTGATAAGTAGATAAGACTAGTTATTAGATATACAATATGTGATATTCACTATTATAAAAATTCAGGTCCATACTTATTCTCTGTCTGGCCCTATACTATTTTGAAGCCTAGGCTATTTATATAATAAGCCAGAAAAGGGCAAATAATGCTTAAAATCTCAGCTTCAAAGAAGCCCTGCTCCTCTTTCGCATGCAATAAACAGTGGGCCTTGATTGAAGCACAAAAAGGACCATGACCCACACACCACAAGACAATTCGCACTAGATATTGACCTTGGTCAAACTACCAAGACAACCCTAGCTGGCATCTTCATCCAGTTGCACTAAGCCCCTAGCTCCTACTAAGCACCACAGGTGCCTTTCCTCTAAAATCTGCTCGAGGACATGCTATACACTAGTTAGGGGAAGCTTTATTAAAGATTAGACACCTAGTCATTGTGATGTTTTATACTCATTACCCATGGATTAAAATATTAATGTGTCTTCGACTAAAAAGTGTATATAGGGAGGAATGCGACTGATATGATTGTCAAAAAATAATATGTGTATGAATGAATATAGTCATCAGAAAAGGTAATTTCATCATTGGTAGAAAACGTTACAACCTTGAGATTGTGAAAATAAAGATTAAGTTAGCTAGACAGGAAACAATGAACAATACCTTTGTTGTTCCGAGAAATGCAGCAGTGCCCACAGGGAAGTTTTGCAAACTCACACCAGCAACTGTATTTTTTTCAAGGCAATCATTAAACCAATTAAACTTGTAGTTGTAGGAAGATGCATATTATTCATGATTATATGCATATTGCATATTAAAAACTCAAACCCTAGGGGTAATACCTTCCCCCAAGGCATTGACGGAAAGGTAGTCACATTGTATGGTTACTTTCATCAATTTCTTTTTTTTTTGTCATATCATTAAGTGAAAAGGTTGCATATATAATTAATCGGTGGATATATATAAAACTCATAAATTGTTGTATACAAAGGCATCAACACAGATAAATATGACACTTATTAATGGTAATTAACCTAGAACTCACATGGTATGGTTACTTTCGTCAATTTCATGTTTCATAGCAGTTAGTTAAATATAAAAAATCTATGGATATGAATAAAACTCATAAACTGTTGTATACCAACATCAACATAAATATACAGATATTTTTATAAGAATTTATTCTATATAAAGCAACAAAACTAGTTTAGGCATGTTTAGGGTTTACCAATGGCTGTGACAACTACGCTAAATATAACTCTTCGGCGATGTCTCATCATAAGTTCCTTTCCTGCTCTGTTGTCGCCAGCCTTTTTTTAAATGAAATATAGAGCGGGGAATAATTGCTATGTTAGTTTTCACATTAAAATGTTACCGATTGACTACTGAACCAAGTCGATGCAAGCTATACCTGTTTGTCATTTTCATCTGCCATACTGCAATCTGGCTCAGGGAAAACGTCTGCAATTGTTGAAAATAGCAGTGCTCCAGCAAAAAACTGCAACCCACATGTCAAAATGTTTAGAAAGATTTTACAAATGCCCAACAACATATCTTGTTTTTCTTACCCAAAGGTTTCCTCTCAGAAAACCAATGGCATTGACAGCATCATAAGCCAAGTCAAAGAAAGACATGCTCAGCATGAGTCCAGTAGCAAAGCCCTGCAAAATGGCCAAAATATATTATTTTAAAATGTTGGATTGTGGACAATCAAACTTGTAATTCTTTCAACGTAACTCCATGGGCAATGGTTAGTAAATAGTAATATCATCAACCTGTAAAATCCCGAGTGTTTTGTTGTTTGGCGCATGATTGAGTATAGCCAACAGTGCACCTGGTGAATAGTATACAAGAATCTTTAGTTATGTGGAGTATACAAATTAAATCTGGGCAATATACATTTGGATAAAATCTTTAGTTATCTTAATAGGTTTCTTATGTGTGGTTATCTTGTGGTTATGGCCTGGCTCTATGTACCATGAACTTTATCCTGAAGAAATCTATGTGTGCAAATAGTTCCCATTGTTGACATGATAGGAGCTAGTTTATCTATTCTTTTCAAGTTCTTTTATTCTCGGATGCAATATAAGCTCAACTAATCAATTTATACCAGTCCACTCCAAAATTTTGGACAGAGACCTAGGGACCAGCATGACTAGTGTCATTTCAAATTCAAGATCCAAGGTGCATAATCGAAACTCTCAGATTATTGTGAACCAAAAAAATATCTGATTAGGACGAGCAACTGGAAATGTCAAAGTTTTTTTTTAACCGAAACGGCAGGGGAGTCCCCTATCTATTTTTTTCTTTTTTCTTTAATAAGGAAAACAGGAGAATACAACTGTACAAAGACAACAGGAAACAGAAAAGTACAAGGCATCCAGGCCCAAAGAGAAAAAACTAACCATGCATGAGTAAATAGTGTAAATGTAGTACAAACAACTCAAGTGATCATGAAAATGTACAACGAGAGGAAGTAAATTGTCGGTACATACCTAGGGAGGTGCTTAAACCGCCGACGAGGGACAGGGTGAGAGCAACGGCAACCTTTGGATCCATATGTGTATCAGGTGAGATTTATCAGCTGGATCTTCAATTCCCTTTGCAGCAGGCGGTGAGCTGTAGTAGTGCTTGGGAACAAATGAGGCCGCGATGTAAGTAAGGAAATAAAGGCTTGAGGAGAGGCTGCTACGAGAATTGGAAGGATGGTATGGAAGGCGTTCAGATGAACGGATCGAGGCTGCTTGGATTTGGGACGATGATGGAGATGGGTCAGTGTGGGCTAGCTTTGCTTTCCCTTATATAAAGGCCAGTGCGTCATGCCGGGGAGCTTGTGTGTGACAGCGTAAGTGATGATGCATAAAGCATGATGTATATAAAAAAAAATCAGTAGATAATGGGGAGGGTATTGAGTTGAGCATCAAGTGGAGCAGGAGGCACGTTACAGTCATGGATGGATGGAGGGATTCCTGCAGGTAGCTTGCATTTGTCCAGTTCCAGTTGATGAGCCCATCGAGGGGTCAAGTCTGGAATGACTTCGCGTGGTAGCTTTAATGACATAACATACTTGTGGTAGAAGCAAGGATGCCTGCAGTGTAGGCAAGGTAACATCCATCCCATCGTTCGATTCGGCAATCCATCGCTAGACAAAGGAATACAAAGCTCCATAATACATATAGCTGTATCTGCATAGGAGGAAACAGTGGTGTGGTTTACTTTTGTTTCAATTTTTTTGGTCCCAAATGACAGAGGCACATTTATTTATTTATTTTATATAATACTCTACTGCCGTAGGTGTTTCACAATGCATGATCTACAGCTTGTTCGCTTGATCGTAAACGATCGTAAATTTTTAGCCAGAACAGTATTTTTCTCTCACACCAAACCAGCCAGCAGTAATAATCAAAAGGTGCCTTATTAAGTGCAGGAAAAAGTGGCGCTAGGTGCAGGGCAGGCATACATGTATCAGCACAGCAGCATACTGCATGCATATCTTTCTTAAGTATCCTGCACGGTGCAATGTGTGTTGTCGATGATGGATGGGCGAGGGCGAGGGCGTTGTCCGGTATTTTATTTTACCCGGAAACCTTTACGCAGGCCACTAGTAGGTAGTAGAGTGTTTACAATGCAAGGAAACTGAAAAGAACACGCAGACTAGCTAGTGTTTCGTGTTGTCACCCCCGGTTGCCCTTTAAGGTTTTATAATAAGGTCGGGTGGTCTCATGTCATCACGCACCGAGCTTAACCATTCATATCATCCAGTTAGGACAAGGAAATCAAATTCATACTAAATCCGCCGACTCCCCGTGCACCCATCCGCCGGCCCCTGGCTCGTCCCAACCGAACAACGTAAAACACTTGCAACATGAATGCAACGTAAAACTGAAAACAGATGAAACATTTAGAAATATGTGTTTGCAACATGTGTGTGAAACACATGAAACATCCAAAATAAAACACTTGCAACTTGCAACATTAAACCACTTGCTGCAACATAAGACGAAACATTTGGAAACATATTGTTGCAACATATGCAACATCCCGATAAAAATGATTGCAACATATGTTTGGAAATAGATGAAACAATTTAAACAAACGCCTGTAACATGCCTCTGAAAACACTTGCAACATGTGCAACATCTCTCGATCTACTTTTGCAATATCAAGATGAAACAATTACAACATACATCTGAAACGCCTGAAACACTTGAAACATACATATGCAACATAGGGGAGGGGAAGACCGGGCTGCTCGATTCTGACCGTCAAGGTCGGAGTCGGCGACGAGCCGTGGCGCGGGAGCACCACCAGCACCGCCCGCGCTCGTGGGTGCCCTTGGCTCGGCCAGCGAAGAACTGAGGTTCCACGGCACATGCGCCCCAACGACCATGGCGGGATCAGCGGCGTGCGTGACGGCGATCGGAGACGGACAGACGGACGGTGAGGGAGCGAGCGGCATAGGTTTCTGGGATGGGTGCGCGGCGCGGCTGGCGATGGGGTGGGGCACAGCGCGGCAGTGGACGTGTGCGCGGCGCGGCCGGCGATGGGGCACGGCGCGGCAGCTAATGAGCGCGCAGTAAAGGAAGGGGCGCGGACAATGCGTGGTCATGCTGCTTTGGAGCTTGGCGGATAAGCACTAAGGAGTTGGGGACGAGCGGGTGGATAAGCACGAAGGAGTGGGGGGTTTGTTTTTTGTTTGGGGCCACTCCCGGGGACTGTGTCTGGACAGGAATCACGGACGGACGAGTGAGTTGGATCATTTCCGTTTCCTCATCCATCACTGTTTGATACAGCCTTTTTCTTGTGATGCTATTTACAAGTTCCGAGGCGTATCTTCCTGGGGCAGGGAGTAAAACTTCCTGGACAAATTATTTACAAGTCGCATGTTCTAATAGGAACACGTTCTCCACGGTGCGGAGACAGGGATGGAAGGAGAAGCTCCCTGGTGAGAGTTTGCGGATGAGGAATTTTTCTCCCTGGGAAGATAGGGATGGGGAGCTATCCCCCAATGGGAAATTCACTGTTCACATCCCTAAAAGTGCTGCCACAAAGCATGCTGACGCTAGACCACACAAGTTAACAGTATCGGCTACCAAGTTGTAATAGAGCACTAATAATTTAACGTTTGCATCATTATATATATGGTATTTCAAGTAACGGAGTTGTTTCAATGATATTTTCCAAATCTCATGATTTTTTCAGAACCACTACTATATCATGTGATTGCTGCCTACAATGCCGGCTCTTGAGTCATGCATGGGTGAGTTTTATACTTTTTATATGTGCAAGTGTAATTGATTCCCATTTCAATAATTGTAATGGAATTTAGTTAGCCATGCTTATAACTCTAGTGGCATGAGTTAGTTCAATCTTCTATGCATGCTTATTAATGTAGGAGTTAGATGAAGTTACGCCATTAATGTAACTTAGCAATTTTCGCAAAAAAAAAATGTAACTTAGTAACTTGCATATGCACCTTATTATCATTTTTTGTTTCACCAAAAATAAGAGTAAAAATATGAAATTTTCGCAAACGAAATGTAACTTAGCGTGCACCTTATTATCATTTTCTCTTTCAACGTAAACAAGAGCAAAAAAAAATATGCAGTGAACTCTGGCGGTATGTAATGCAGTAACATACTATAGTGGGCCGAGTATGATTTATCTTTCTCTAATAAAACAAGAGAGAGCAGCAGCAGCAAACAAGTAGTGGGCTGTATTTCACATGCTCAGTCCAGGTCAAGAAAGGCCCATATATAAAATTGAAAGGTCCGCGCGGCGCCACGTCGAGACAAAAGCGCGCGACCCGCAGCCCAGTCTTGGCCGCGCAAAGCCGCAAGCCTCGCACAGTGCTTCTTTCTTCGATCTCCCCTTTTCTTTCTGATGATCATGGTCTTTTAGGCATTCCCCTTTTCTTTCTGATCATGGTCCTTCTCCTTTATCCGAATCAGTGGTGCGAGATGGCACCCGAGAGCCGAGAGCCTTATCCCTAAACAAGGTGAAGGGTTGATTAACCCCTCCCCGCCTGGCCTCGGCTGCACCGCTCTGTCTACTCTCCGGTGAATCGCTCCCAGTCCTGATCGCACCGCGAAGCGTCCTGCCATGAGCTCCGCTGCAGCCGCCGCCAATGTCACCGTCATCGGAGCCGGAAGTAAGCAACCTTAACGCTCAACCTCATAATCTCTCGTCCTTTACCGCACCTCTGATTCCTGAACAACTGAATGAACGGTCCGATCCACCCCGTTCGGGCTGGCGCCTGCAATCCTCACTTTACTCTTCCCGACGATCGCAGTATCCGGCTCCGTGTGCGCGTCTCTCCTCGCCGCGCGGGGCGTGGCCGTGACGCTCTTCGACTCCGGCCGCGGCGCCGGCGGCCGCATGGCGCAGCGGAGGTGCTAGACCGATTGACTCATCGCTGCCCCTGCACCCTGCGCGCGCGTCGCTCCGGCACTGACTGGTCGGTGCTTGGCTTGGGTGAGCGCAGGGAGATGTTGGAGGATGGCACGGAGCTGCGGTTCGACCACGGTGCGCCCTACTTCACCGTCAGCAATGGCGAGGTTGCCCGGGTCGTCAGTGGGTGGGAGGCGCGGGGGATCGTCGCCGAGTGGAAGGCCACGTTCGCATGCTTCGATCTGGCCACCGGCAAATTCACAGACTTCGAGAAGGTTCGAGCTTTGAATCCCAACCCTTGCCGTAGGTTTATCCATTATTTAACAAACTGAAATGATCAGGCAGTTGGTACATTTACCATGAGGGTCCCACATAGATATTAAGCAATTAGAAGTTAGCTAAAATTTTCAGTTTTGAAACCTGGCAATGACTGTACATAATGTGCATCTGATAGTTTGGGTATGCCAAACTTTTTTCTCGAACGTGCCTCGGGCACGGTTTTCATTAAGCAGGAGAAGAGAGTTTACACGAAATTACAACTAAACGCCATGGTAATCCACCGATTACCAAAGCACTACGGCCCACGGGCAACGAGTGAAATTGATTTACATAGTACTATGCTTGCGACGGTAATGACCCCCGAAGACTACATCAGTGTTAGCAAAGACAGGAGGTGCTTGTATCCCGCCAAACACCACTCCTCGGCCTCGCCCCAGATCGAGCAAGCCAGCTCAGCCGCGTCAGTAGAAGCTCCATCAAAAGTGCGCGAGTTCCTCTCCTTCCACAGTCTCCAGCCAACTAGGAAGAAGAGCGAATCGAACCCCTTTCTCGCCGGTTTTACAACGAGCTTTCTGTTGCGCATCCACCTTGATGATTACCTTGTGTATCATGTATTTTCAATCTGGAATGTCTCTGATGATTACCTTGATCTATGTTTAAGGGAGGAGGCGAAGCAATTTTTTGAAGTTAGGCAGTGTCATGTAGGCTTTCAGTTGCTCAAATAATCATGATTGCATATTGGTGTGTTAGAGTACTTTCAAGAAGCATGATTTACATAGATTAGCAGGAGCCAATATTGAAATTTTACCGCAAGGTTTAATTTGACGTTTTCTTAATATAATACAATTTGTTTCCTTGGGATGTGTTCTTACTTCTTACAGGAGGGAACAGCTAAAAAGTATGTGGGAGTGCCAGCCATGAACTCAATATGCAAATCACTCTGTGTAGAGGATGGTTAGACCTCAGACTTCCAACTTTCTGAGTGCCATAATGTTCCAGAGACCGAGCCTGTACAGATGCTTAATGTACATGCATACTCTGCTTCTGCTAGGTGTGGTGGCCAAATTTGGTGTCACTGTGGGCAAGATGGATTGGCTTCAAGATCGGAGTTCATGGTCACTAGCTAGCTTGGATGGGAAAGATCTAGGTTATTTTGATTACGTCGTAGCAACAGATAAGAACGTAGCGTCACCAACATTTTCTGGGTTGACTGGAAAACCGCCACCTCTTGGTTTGTTCTATAGTTTCCTTAATATCATTCAATATTATTGCTCTAGTTTTGGAACACAATCTTGTTTCCTGATAACTTCTACTAATAAAATGGTTATCACTTTAGTGAATAGAAGTATTCTTATCGCCATTTTAGTTTGAAAGAACTAGTGACCCCATTCGCTGGAGCTACTGCTGCGGCTGTATCAGCTGCTGCTACAGCACCCGCTGAGAGGGACTGCAGCCACAGCCGCAGCAGCAGCATGGTGCCGAACTTTCTTTTTTGCTGAAAGCAACTTCTTTTCATGCCCCCGGTTTGTGTATATGTTTCTGTAAATTGTGGAAATTCAAACAGTCATAGTAGCAGGACACCTTGCGCCAATGGCCAATGCCTGCTTTTTCTCCTGTTCATTTCTTGTTTTGTTTCTGCTTGGTGCTTGGTATATATATTAGTAAGGGCAAAATAACCGTTAGCATAGATACAAGAAGCATGTTTGAATTGAACGTAAGGGTCCACTTAAATGGCAATGCTAACTACTTGCACTCGTGTTAGTTACTTATTACTATTGGTACTAATTACTGAGCATCAGCATCTTGCATACAAGTGCAATGCATGAGATTTACATGCTTTGACCAATGCTTGGTAATGTTTCCTCAGATTTGTCGTCATTTTCACACCTGCCTACAATACTTCAAAATATCCCAGTTCGTCCATGTTTTGCTCTTATGGTAGCATTCTCGGAGCCATTGGCTATGGTAGGTGCAATCTTCAATAATATCCACTCACAAAGTTCCTCGCTTTCTCAATTGCTTGGGAGTAAAGATTTTGTTGTTGTAGACAGTTCATACTTATTTACTATGCAGATGGTGATAGATAAACCTAGTGCTAAAGCACTTGTATCCTACTTTTTCTATATTTTTACTTTCCTTTGCTTCCAAGCCTAGTGTTAGAAATATGCTCAGTATTCACTTTAATAGTTGGAATATGCTGTAGCAAGTGAGAATCCCCTTTGCCTATAAAAAGCAAGGGAGTGTTATTATAAAAATAGGCCATTGCATTTTCCATTCAATCCAAGTGACCAAAGGTCAAACTGCCATCTGTTAGTTCCATATCTGAATCTGAGATCCAATTAGGCCAACAATCTGGTATCGAGTCGAGAGGATTCTTGAGTGAGCGAGCGTCATGTCCACCGCTAGCCAGGTCGCGAGCGTGCGCGTGCGTGTGGGTGGTGCCGCGAGCCGATGATCGCGCTGACGCGCTTTGCTGCGCCGATGCAGCTGTGTCGATGGCGATAGAGACGAGCGCAAAGCGACGCAGGCGCGCCCAGTGCCACGTAGACGACGCCAGCAAAGACTACACGCTGAGATGGAGAGGGAACCGGAGCCAGCTGGAGGATCGCATAGCCCGGTCGGGCACCGCCGCCGCCCATCCGTCACCAGAGCGGCGGCGTGGTCGGTGCGGCCACTCCCCGGTGCTGCAGACGGGCTACCACGACTCCGGAGCTAGAACGCCCTGGTGATGATCACCAAGTCGAACTACCACGAGTGGAGCCTGCTGATGATGGTCAAGCTGCAGGCCCGGCGGCTATGGGAGGCGGTTCACGTCGGCGGCGGCGACTACGACGACGATCGCTAGGCGCTGAAGGCATTGTGCACTACTGTCCCCACTGAGCTCGGCGCCTCCCTCGCCAACAAGGCTACAGCAAAGCTAGCGTGAGAATCGATCGTCGCGGCACACATCGGCGGAGATCGTGTGCGCCGGGCAACGTTGCAGCGCCTCCGAGGGGAGTGGGAAGGCCTCGCCTTTCAGCCTGGTGAGCAAGTCAAGGACTTTGCCCTTCTTCTTACCAATCTGATGGAGCAGATGGCGCGCAACGGCGACACCGACCTCACGGAGGAGCGCGCGGTGGAGAAATTCCTCCGCTGCATGACGAGGAAGTACGCGCAGATCGTCATGTTGATCGAGACGCTCCTCGACTTCGAGTAGCTCACCGTCGAGGACGTGTCCCGGAGGCTCAAGGCGGTGCAGAACCGCGAGAAGGGGCCTCCACCGAGCCGAGCGCCGCGGGAGGCAAGCTGTTGTACATGATGGAGCAGTGTCGTGCCTTCGACAAGAAGGAGGAAGGATCCGGTTCGTCCGGCGTCCACGTGGTGGCATGAAGAAGGAGGAGAAAGGACCCCGGGGCCAGGTCGGCGCTGATGGCGGCGCCGCCGGCGAGCGCAAGACGACCCGGGATGACACCTGCAACAACTGTGGCAGGACTGGCCACTGGGCCAAGGACTACCGCCTTCCTCCATGCCACGGTGGGCAGGCTCACGTCGCGCAAGCAAAAGAGCAGGATGCCACCCTGTTCCTGGCGCACGAGTACGTCTAGCTACAGCAAGACACATGGGAGGGGGTGAAATGTCCAAGCTTTCACCTTTCCAAGTCGGCTGGCTCCGCTGAGCTCCACCTTGATGAACCGCGCGCCCATGTCTTCCTCGGCAAAGGTGTCATCGATGACAAGATCTATGGCTAGTACCTCGACACCGGTGCGACGCACCACATGACTGGTCGGCGCGAGTTCTTCTCCGACCTAGACTCCAGCGTGAAGGGCTCCATCAAGTTTGGTGACGCCTCCACCATCGAGATCAAGGGCATCAGCTCGTTCATCTTCAAGGCCAAGACGGGGGAGCACCGTCTTCTCACCGGGGTGTACTACATCCCAGCCTTGAAGAATTCCATCATCAGCGTCGGGCATCTAGACGAGAATGGCTCATGGATGGAGATTGAGGACGACGTGCTACGCATCTGGGATAGAGGCCGCCGTCTTCTTGCCAAGGTGAACCGAGGAAGCAACCGCCTTTATGTGCTCCATGTACAGGTGGCGCACCCCCTCTGCCTTGCCGCGCGTGGGGATGATGAGGCGTGGCGCTGGCACGAGCGCTTCGGGCACCTTCACTTCGAAGCCCTGAAGCAGCTCGGCAAGAAGGAGATGGTCTACGGCATGTCCTGCGTTGACCACGTCGAGCAGCTCTGCGACACCTGTGTGGTAACCAAGCTAAAGCGCCGGCCCTTCCCGCATCAAGCCTCCTACCGCACCACCGAGCAGCTCGAGCTGGTGCACGGCGACCTCTACGGTCCAGTGTCATCGGCCACTGGAGGTCGATGCTCCTTCCTACTGCTCGTCAACGACGTCACCCGCTATATGTGGGCCGTGCTGCTGAATTCCAAGGCAGTAGCTACGGACGCCATCAAGCGTCACCAGGCAGCCGCGGAGAAGGAGTGCGGCCGCAAGCTCCGGGTGCTCTGCATGGACAACGGTAGCGAATTCACGATAGCTGAGTTCATGGCGTATTGCACCAACGAGGGGATTCCATGCCACTACTCCGTTCCCTACTCACCGCAGCAGAATGGCGTGGTCGAGCGCCGCAATCAGACGGTGGTGGCAGCGGCGCACACGCTCCTCAAACAGCGTGGCATGCCGGCAGTCTACTGGGAGAGGCCGTGATGACCGTCGTACACTTGCTCAACCGCTCTCCGACCAGTGCGCTCGACGGCAAGACGCCGTATGAGGCCTAGCACGGGCGCAAGCCGGTGGTCAGCTACCTACGCGTGTTTGGCTGCCTCGCCTTCGTCAAGGAGATGAACCACGTCGGTAAGCTCGACGATCGTAGCTCGCTGGGGGTCTTCATCGGCTACGTAGAGGGGGCTAATGCCTACCGCGTGCACGACCCGGTGACACGCCGCATGCGCGTGGCACGCGACGTTGCGTTCGTTGAAGGATGTGGCTAGGCATGGGACATGGCGATGGATGACGGGTCGGCGACCACACTTCGTGTTTTCACCGTCGAGTATGCATGGGCTGGAGGTGCTGAGGAAGCACAAGGTGCATCTTCATCAACGTATGGGTCTTCATCACCAGCGCCGACCTCTTCACCAACTCTGCCTCGTTTGCCATCACCAAATCCAGGGGAGCTCGGCAGCCCATCGGCGGAGGTCAGCAGTCCATCGGTAGCAGCTCCAACCTCTCCAGCACCGCAGCCGACCTCTTCAAAATCTACATCATCACAGCTGATTTCTCTAGCGTACCAGCCAACCTCCTTGGCGTCTTCTACCTCGCCCGCTGCGACACCAGCGCACATAGGGCAGCCGGAGGTCGAGTACGCCACGCCGCTGGAGGACGATGAAGACCGCCTGGACCCTACTACGATGATGAGCCTCTGCAATACCGTAACATGGCAAGCATCCTCAGCGACCAGTCTTCACCGGACCAGCCCGAGAGGCTCTTCGCACAGCTTCATCTGACGCACGCCGGTGAGCCGACCACTTATGCTGAGGCGCAAGGTGATCCGGCGTGGCGGGCGACGATGGAGCAGGAGCTCAAGTCCGTCAAGTAGAACCACACCTGTGAGCTGGTGCCACTGCCTAACGGCCACCGCCCTATCACCCTGAAGTGGGTGTTCAAGCTCAAGAAGGACGAGCTGGGTGCGGTGATCAAACACAAGGCGCGGCTAGTAGCACGCAACTTCGTCCAGCAGGAGGGGATCGACTACGACAACGCCTTCGCCCCCGTGGCGCGCATGGAGTCAGTCTGTGTCCTCCTCGCGTTGGTGGCTCAAGAGGGGTGGCAAGTCCACATGGACTTGAAGTCTGCCTTCCTCAACGACGATCTCAAGGAGGAGGTCGACATGAGCCAGCCACCTAGCTACGCCATCGCCGGAGAAGAAAGGAAGGTGTACTGCCTGCGCAAGGCACTCTATGGCCTGT